ATTTTGTCGGTAAACCCTGGAAGCTTCAATTTCATCGTTTAGCTGAATCAAAAGAATAAAAAAAGCAGAGCCCAGAAGTGAGCGATTAGAGTGGGTGCAGATTGCCAGACTGTAGATCCAATTGGGAATTTGGAATGGATCTACATCTAGTCTAGTTCCCTTTGTTCATCGCTTTGGTTATGTAATCACAGCCATCCAATCGTGCCATTAATCGTTCCTTCTCATGTTCTTCTCAATCTCAACTACTGACTACTTCCTGAGGCATTTATATTGTTGGGGCTCAACCCATGAAGGAGATAACGGTGAGGGATAATATCGAATAGGATGCTCCAAAGGAACCAACCTTTGAGGATGCAATATTTAGAGCTCTGTTCATTAGTTTTTTTTTTTGCAAGGAAAGAGACCTGTAACAGCTTCATCAATGCGGGGGATCTTGCAGGGTAGAATAAATTGTAACTAGATTTAAAAGTTGTAGACCTCTAGTCTAGTAGATCATCTATGCTAAATAGCTTAAAAAAGCGTTAAAACTGATTTTGTAAACCAGTATTCGTTCAGCTTCTGATACTTCTTGCATCACATGCGTATTACTTTTGGTGGAGGGAAGTTCTAGCCTTCTAGGGCAGGGGATGGGTCAAGGCTATCTAACCAATTAATTAGATTATACCACACGCTATAGGTCTGTGTAAGGTGGTAACATTTATCATGGTTGATACGTATGCTAGGAATCAAGTATGGAAGTGTCCATTCTATCAACCTGTCAACTTTGTAGGTCCAGCAAATTGGAGAGAGCTACATCTCTTAAAAAGGAGATAATGTTGAGAGAGCAATCAACAGTTTCTTAGGTAGGGGAGGTTGGGGAGAGAGAAATCAACAGTTTCTTAGGTAGGGTTTTGCAAAATTAATGATGTGTATGCTCCACAACAACTCCAATCTCTCACTTTCACTTTGTGTGCATGGCTGACATGGGGTATTATTATTGGTTAATCAGTTCTTAATGCAGTCATCTAGTGCAGTTAATTTGAACTAGCCAACTAGGGGTGTGATTTTGGTCCAATTCGATCCAGTTCAATATGAATCCATTATAAATGGGCCAGGTCCAATCTAATCTGATGAATACTTTTGATCAATTTGGACTGGTCCAATTTAATGTCCCGATTGTTCAATATGTTCAAATTGATTTTAATTTAGATTGGTTCCAGTCCAAGCCTCGTCTATTGGCACCTGTATTCTTATTTTTAATCAATGGACCGGATATTTGTTCAATCCAACCCAATCTTCATGACCAATCTAATTGCTTTTATTGAATGGTATTTTATTTTATTATTATTATTTTTGGATCTTGTTACCTCATTGAATAAATTGATTTGTCATAGATGATGATCATTTTGGAGTAAATAACAAGAAAATATACCAAAAAAAAAGAAACTCTTACAGATGAATAGAAAGAATAAAGATCTGTGTGCTTTGTCATCTAGGACCGTAGAGAATATAGTCCCCATCCACCTTGCTCTCTTGTAACCAAAAAAAAAAAAGAAAAAAAGTGGAGGGATCAATATAATCTCAAATTATAGTTATCAATAAATAAGTATTAAATTTTCAATTATTTGATTGAAGCATGTAGAAAATACAAACCATCAATTACCCTTTATATAAGATTCAAAACACTATTAAGGCCCCATTTGATTTATAGGAATAGGGGCCTAGAATTGGAATTGAAATGGTTTATTCTGATTCAAACTGTTTGGTTGGGTGAAATTAGAATCCCATTTTCATTCCTGGTGAAATGACATTCTCTTTTTTGAGGGAATGACCATTCCCTCCCCTTCCTTTGGGAATAAAATCCCATTCCTGCTGATTCCAATTTTCATTCTCATTCCTGTTTAAACCAAACAAATTATGAGAATAAATCATTTCAATTCTGATTCTAAAAGATTTTAATTCCGACTGCAAACCAAACAAACCCAACACATAATATATAAGCTCGTATGTCTTCCACAACAATTTAGGGGGCGTTCTTTTCATGGTTGTGTTTGTGTTTTATTTGGCTACAAACACAACTAACATTTTAGAAGGCATTTTTATTTTGTTGGTTTTTGAACCAGCAAATCATGGTTCTAGAACCAACAAAATCCCTGTTTTTTTTGACCACTATGAATGATAACTTAACACAACGTAACCAAATGGTTCAAAAAGAATGGCCAAGTGATTATGTATATCTTGAGCTATATTCCTATATTACATAGAATGTAATATATGTTTTATACCCGTGAAAAAGATATATAATTATATATTGTTAATAAAATATATGTATTTTCACATGTTGTATTATAGTTTTGATATATGATACACAAATACTCATACGGTGAAAGTTGAATGATGGGGGATGAATTGCTTCAATACATGAATCACATAAAAAACTAACAATATTGAATCCAAAAAAAAAAGTGAACCATGAAAAAAATAGCAATTGTATTTTTGTGTGATTCATAACACAACCACAACCATAGACATGAATCTCACACGACCTCACAGCATGTACCAATTGTACATTGGAAACATCTATATGAAAATGTTCCCAATATACAATGGGACGTGGCTGTGAAGTCAGTGTGAGGAGCATAACCCAATTCCATACACCGCAGATGTTTTGAAACACAACACCCTATTTTTAACTATGAAAAATTGAAAATAACATCTCCTTATTATAGAATTTTAATAAAGTCAATATATAAGTCAAAAAGGGTTGGGTTTTGCCCAATATTATATTTTATCCGTACTTGTATATGGGGTGTAAAATCTCCAAACCCATTTAGCTAAAAAAAAAATCGAAACTCATTTATGCCCCGATGTAATCCTCTTTTTGGGGCATAAATCTATTAATAGTCCTCTTATAAATCGCATCCTGTTCGAAACTTTAATATCAATCCACTGTGAAAATTCAGTCTACCCCTAAAAATCTTAACTCTATCGTAAGAGTGGACCAAACTATAAAACCCAAAAAAATAAAAAATAAATTATTAGGAAAGAGAAGAGGGAGAATGATAATGAAGAATGAAGACAAAAAAATCCGAGTCACATATGGGTCAGCGCCGCGTACACGAGACATGGTGTATAATTTCAATCCGAATCTGCTGCAATTGTGGTGTTTGTGCACCTCCATTCTTACATGCATGTGTGGTCGCATATACATTGGTACTTGACAGTTGACACGTGTATAATTTCTGAACCACAAAATTTGAAGCGGGGAGTTGTACAACATGTGGGCACCGTGGAATCTGATTAGACGGGACCCACATTTCGCCAAAACCAACTGCCCAGAGACTGTTATAGAGAAACACAATACGTGGCTCCTACCTGTCAACGGCCTTCTGATTGGCTGGTGTTTTTTTGGGTACGTCGCTGCTTTTTGTTTTTGCTTTTTCTTCCCTTTTTGCGTCGTTGTAATTGGGCATTGGGCTGGGCTGATTGTCCCCGGACACGGAGGAGTCTACAATTTTGGCCCCTTTTTACTCTCTCTCTCTCATTAGAAATTTAGAACTACTCTCCTCATTCTCTCGGTCTCGGGCCACCCAACTCTACAATCGAAGTTCTAAGTCCTGTCACCTGTGTTGGATTAATTTTTCTAGTCACTTCAATAAAAATAGAGTACGATTTTACTGTTGCCGTGAATATGTTTGGTTTGATAGAAAACAATACAAACGCGGAAAATTGAGGGAAACAAAATTTATGAAAATACTTAACAAACATGTCTCTTTTCTTACCCATTGGATTCTCAAAAATGAATTTCAAACTGTTACCCAAATGCTTAAAAGCAGCAGTGTCGTCGTGTAGGGCCTACGGCTGCAAATGGATCTGGCTAAATCGGACATAAAGTGTTTCTGTATTTTTCCATTCAAATTCAATCCTATCTATTCAGATTAAATTTAAATTCAAATTGCAATGAATCAAAACCATGTGGTTTCAAAACAGATTATTTCTCAAAATGAAAACACAAAAACATGTTCTTGAATAAGATTTTAAAAACATATTTCCATCTAATCATTCAACTTTATGTTCTATGAATCGTATAGTTTCTATACTAAAAAAATTATTTTTATTTTAAAAATCAATATTTTATTAGTTTCAAAAACATATTATTTTTTTAAATAAAATCAATTTATATTTGCAAAAATAAATAAAAATAAAAACATTTCATGTTGTAAAACGCTCATTATACATTAACCAATAATCAGAAGTTGATCTAAATTTATGGAATCCAATCTGATTTGTGAGTTATATGGATAGGGTTTGGGTGTGGATAGATGATCCTAAATGCAGTTAGTACCTTGTGGATAGGGTATCAGATCCCAGCTCAAAAAATTAAGAGTGAGTGGTTGTGGTTGTGACTAGTGATGAGCATAAAGCTTTATTTTTTATAAGTTCCAGACTCTTCTGCTTGTCGTTTCTCTTCTTTTTCTTTGTATATTGAGTTGACACTATTTGATAATTGATATTACCTTGAAATTAAATGTAGCAGTGCCAAATCCCCACAGGCCCCATCCCACTTTTCAAGGCAGAAGTCACGGGTTAAAGCCTTAGGAGGGCAGAGCTGTAAAATTACTCCTGTTTTTATATTGTTGGCTTTTCTGTAGTTTGCGACCTCTCTCAAATCTTGGAATCTGGTGGATTGAGAGAAGCGCTGCGAGCCGAAGCCGCTTTTATCGTTTTATCCCGTGCCGTTCTCTCTCTCTCTCTGACTCTGACCCAGTACTTTTTGGCTGGTAACTTATGCTGTGGCGGGTCCACATTGTCTTCTTTGTCTTTTTTTATTCTGAACTTCTAAACTCTTGTGGACGGCCGGCCTGCCTCAAACCGCTTTCCCCAAAGAAGGAAAAGAAAACAACCAGCTAACCTCCTTCTTCTACTTTGTTGGGAAAGAAGTTTGATCAAATGAGTCGAAGAAATAAAGCAGAGCTCAAGCACTTTTCACGGCACTGAAAAATTTTCTAATGCACTCTCAGTTCATTTTAATAAAAATAAGCAATTCATATTTCATAGTGTGCACTACAGTTTGACCAAACTAGCGAGCTTTATCTAAAAACCATAAAGCCCGCTTATGCAAATCGCATTTTTTGCACTGAGAAGAAGAAACAAATCGTACTTCTAAATGGTATATACATTCCTAGTAAATACCCAGAAAGAAAGAGTAAAAAAAAAAAATTGGAGCTGAGCTTTAATCTCAATGAAGTCCAATCCCAATACTTCTATTGGTTTATACGTTTGCCACCAAGATTGGATTTTCCTTGTCGAATTCGAAGCTTGAAGAGTTAGAGATGTTCTTCATTCTTGCACGAACCAAATCCTCCATTTCCTGTTTGCCCATGGATTTCGACGCCGAGTTTATAGAGATCTCGCCATTTGCAACTAACTTTTGCAGCTCCGATTCGTCAAGACCCTTCGCCGGTCCGAGACTACATCGTTCAGTCCCATGCTTTGCCAATGCATCCTTGAATTTCTTGATCTGAAAATGAAATATATATACAGAGAAACTTCATTCAATCCCATTCTCAAAACCAGGCCCGGATATAAATCCAATTTGATTACTGAGTTTGTGACTTACAGTTGCATTGGTGCAGCTGAAACTACAGAGACGACCCTCGGCTCCTCTGTAAAATCGGAAGAAAGGGAGCACATGTATGTTGAGACTGTAACACATGCTCTTGAGCTTTTCGTAATTAACCTTGACAAAGAGCGCATTTGGGTTCGACTCCGCCAGCTGGCAGATCTGAAACAGAGAAAGAACATTAACAAATTTCCCAAATTCCCTTTTGTTTTTCCCTGAGCATTCGGTGAGGAGATCAATTACCTTGGGATGCAGAGCCTTGCAACCACCACAACCAGGGGAGTAAAAATCGAGAACAACAAGCCTATCTCCGGCATTCAACAACACATCGACGAGTTCTTGCGCCGAATTGATGTCTATCATGTTGGGTTTCGGCGTCTTCTCCCACCATCTCAAAGCCCGACTTATACAGATTGAAGCTTGTGCCTGAAATCCGAGAGAGTTAAGTTATGGATATTACTCCAGCAAAAAGTAAAAAAAAAAAAAGAAAAAGAAAAAAAGAAAAACAAGAAGACAAGAGAACGCCTCTCCTGACTCCTATAGAGGGCTGAACGGAGAATCACATCACATACATGAACAGAAAACTTTGGAGAGGCTTTGACACTCCGATCACCTAAGCCCATCTGATCTGATACAATCACTTGCTGTCCCCTGAAGTCGCTCTTCAAGACAGGGAGATCTACTGATTGGGAATCTGCAATCTGAAAGGAACCCAAAGACGGAGATAAACCGAGGACGTTACTCGATCTCAAGGCAATCCCATTCGACCCGACAACATGGAAATCACTCCTCAGAGGAAACGCCATAACAAAATCAACGAAATATACCTTGGTAGTTCAACCGAAAAACTCAGAACCCCAAACTCAATCAAAACTAGGTTATACTTTCCAATCAAAATCGGTCCTTTTTGGCAACAGAAAACCAGCGAGTCTGAATGAATTTCAGCTGTTCCCAACAAACAAATCCAGAAACGCAGCTAAACCCACTTATCCTCTGAAGTCAAATTGGATTATTTTCAGTTGAAGATGGGGGATTTGAAAGGGACTCTTAATGGGTTTTGACAGATTCAGAGATGGAAAGGAGAAAGGGCGGAAGAGACTTGTTCAACGAGGGGGGCGAAGGAGGCGAGACGAGGCGAGCTGGAAGCCCGGAAATAAAGAAAGGTTTGGTGGGGCCTCTTTAATCCGATTAACTTTATCCATTTTCGATGTTTAAACTTTGATGACAAGTTGACAACGCAGAACGTGCTTCGTCGTTTGTCGTTCGTTTTGGTAGGTTTTAGTTACCGTTTTACCACATTCACAGTATTATTATTTATTTATGGATTTAATTCTGGGCCTGGATGGGCTCGGTTTTTTTGTTTATTTTAAACAATTCATGGTCATTTTTTAGGAGAAATGCGAGGGAATCTTAATCAGATGCACTTTCACTTTCTTAATTCAGATTGTGCACTTTTTAGGGGGTGTCTGGGACAATTGCGTTTATTTTTTCACTGAGTTTTTTCATAAAACGCCATCGATTTGAGTTTTTTCAAATTTTTGAAAAAAAAAACATTTTTTTTTATGGTGCCGTTTGGTTTCATTGCTGTTTTTTCAGCATACTTAGGAGCCATGTCAGCCACCAAACCAGAAAAAACTTTGTAGAAAGAAAATAATAAAAAATGGCGTTTTTTAAGCATGGGCAGTTTTTTTTGAAAAAACGACAACATTTTTTTATTATTTTTTGAGAAAACGACTAATCAAACAGGATATGCTGATGCGTTCTTTGCCGTTTCCTCAAAATCTGATGTGCCGAAAAAACGGCATGGTCACAACAAACACGACCTTAGTACTGGGGCCTCAGCATTTATCCCGTGAACGTGATGGGTACTTGAAATGGGGATTTGTTCCTCACAAAACGCATCTCACAGACTCACACTGATCTTACAACATATCTCACCGTATACTGGGAATATCTTCCTATAAATAACACCCATGTTTGGGGGATGTTCACCATGTGTGGCTGAGACGTGTTGTAATGTGGTGTGAGGATCACTTGTTAAGGAGCAGATCCGATTCGGGTGCTTGGGCTGCTGTAATTCCAAGTGTTTCCAATGACGTCACTAGCTATAATGTGCAGAGTGCGACCAAGAAGACTGGACCGGTTCTTCACACTTGGGGTCTCACACGCACATTCTATCATGTATCGGAAACATTTCTTATACTTATTTATTATTATTTACGGAAGATGTTCCCGATACACGATAGATATAGATATGAGGCGCCTATTTGTGAGGAGCAGATCCCGTGACTGTGTTGGGGGATCTTTCCTTCCGGTAAGTGAATAATTTGCTTACTGGATGTTAACAATTTGAGTCTCGTGTTAGTTATTGATGTTAATGAAAGGATAGGGTTGGGCAAAGGCAAAGTCATGAACCTGAAGGAGGCCTCAACGGTCAGTCTAAAGTGCCACCGCCTTTTCATCAATTAATTGTCTTAATTTATTCGCGCATGAATAAAATAAATGCGCTCTGATTATGGGGAAATTAAAAGCATTTTTTAATGAAAATCTTTCCACCCAAATCCACAACCTATTAATGATTAATAATTTTTTGCCACGGGGAGAGTTAGATGGACAATTCACGACTCTCCACCCTTGATATAACCATTACCACCTCAATGGCCAATAGGTCATTCTTGAAGTTCAGCAAGGGTGTGCTGTAGCTGAAGAGCTACCTACAAAATTACATGAAAATAGGGTAAGATAGACTGTTTTCATATCTGCGATCTATTTTTTATTTTATTTCCACTACTGCAGATAGGGATAACAATTTCCATACAACCCCCCGGGGCCCATTTCTTTCTTTTCTTTTTTTTTTTTATTACAACCTGGGTATGGATAGGATACAGCTAAATGCAACCTTTTTCAATCCATACATTTCAATTAGTATAATATAATACTCCCAAGTTGTAAGCCATTTAAACTTTTTTGAAATTAATCATGCTTTTAATGTTATGTGAAGAATAATTAATAGTTTGTGTTTTTTTTTATGTTTTTAATCAAATAATTGGTAATTTTGATATTTAATCACATTATTTTATTTGTTTATTATTTATATATAATAGGAAATAACAGAAAATTATATGTGAATTGTAGGCCCAACCTATCAACCCGATCTACCCTGCCCTTAATTGTGGACTACTCTCAAAATCCAATTTACTAGGGGTTTTTGAGGGTGGTATTTAGAGGTTTGGAAAGACAGGGTGGGCTAAAGTGTTATACATTAGAGGTTGGTTAGTGGAGCAAAAGCTTTACAAGGAGAGAGCCTTTAAGTGGGGTTGGGTTTGCACCTTCTCGTCAGATGACCACCTGACCTTACTGGTTCATTGGGCCAATTCAGAGTTCAGACCACTCATTAGGTGGAATGTTGTCTGATTTCTTCAAGTCTTACCATTCCCATCCTTTGTTTCAAATGAACATAGCGTTCTTAATTAAAGCATTCATCCACCAAGATTGAGTGTGATGAGTAGGACTGTTAATATTACCTGATTAATCGAGTCTGTCTTCAAAATTCGATCCAATTGAATTAGTTTTGCATCTCAACAAATTGGATCGGATCTGGATATACACCAAGCCAATTCAATAATACGGATATCGGAATATGAATGACTACGTTTTGATGAATACCACCGACCTAATCCATTAATATGAATAACCCTTCTAAAATTTAACAATTCAGATCTCCTGCCTACGACAATCCTATCCATGTCTACCCACATAATACTATAGCTGTAAATTTAGAACTCCTCCCCATAAATGATAACATGCAAACATGAGAGATGTTCTTAATTAGGTGTAATGAGATGCACATAGGGTTCTTGTGGGTAAGAGATTCGAACTCAAAATTTGATGAACAACAGTTAATCGTTTATCACTTTTATGATACCAATTGATTGGCTATAAGGTTTTAGATATAATGCCTTTTTTTTATATCATAGTCAAATTCATAAAATTAACATATATTTATTAACAAAATTTAAATATTGTTTTTTTTGTTGAAGTCTTAATGTTAAGTCTAATTTTAAATTATCATAATCTTAATTTTTAATTCATTTTATCAATACTAAATAATAATTACTAATTTATTTTATTAATAGATGTAATGTTTAATTATTTTCAATAGATATTATATTCCAAATCCTATATGAGTCTCATAAAAAACCAACTGATGATGTGAATTTGAATTTGAATACTAATAGGGTTGAATTCAAATGTATATAAATTCCATCTGAATCTGGCATATTAACAGCCGGAGAAAATAGAATTTGTAAATGCTACTCACAAAACGTGCCTCACACCAATCTTACTTATAGATAAGAATATCCAAGTATAAGAGATATTTCTAATATAAAGTTGTAAATGCTGTGAGATTGGTGTGAGGCCCATAAGACAAATCTGATCTAGAGAAAATGGAGGATACCAATGAAAAGAAGATAAATTTGGCAGATATTAACTTAGGTTGGCATAAGTTTCCCTCACTTTCCCCTCCTTCTCTACCTTTTCCTTCAAATCAAATACAGCCTTATTCAAGTAAAAGTTTGGTGATGGAAAGTAGAAACTATTTGAGTTGTGTTTCTTATTGTTCCATCGTTATTAATTTGATCACGGAAGTTATGTGGGCAATATATATAGCAATGAAGAAACAGCAAAAGCAAACGGAATTTTTATAACCGACTTAGCAGCAACAGTTGATGAAGAATTATTATTGTGTTGATTTTGGTAATTACGAGGGAGTCACAAATACCAAAGGAGATCCTACACAAATATCGTGGCTGTCCAATTGAAAAGATTAGGATTTAGTGTGATGCATGTCAAATAGGAGCCAAAATATTTGTAGAAAGAAATTTAACTGTTCCACAATTATATCCAACAAACACAAAAAATGCTTTTATTATATAATTATTGAAATGACTCCAGATTTCAAATTCCAGACCACAGATTTCAAATTAACTTTTGTTTGATTATATTCTCCATCATCCCTTTGTATATTTTGTTTTTTCTTGAAAAATTATATGTGGGTTCTGATTGGCTTTATTGACAATTCTCTATATTTATATCAATTTTTTGAATGAATGAAATAAACTTTAAACCTTAAGAAAAAAGGCTAAAATCATGGAGTGAATTCAACTCCAGGGTGTACATCTGGATTTTTTTTTTTATTTACATAATACACATTACAGTGGAATTGGAGGTGGGGTAGATAAAGTGCACCTCAGATTCACTGGCCATACCGCATAGATCCAGCAGTTTTATGGGTCTAATCCTGCACCTCCTCATTTATTTGGAAGGGTGCCAAGTGACCATATACATGCATTTATATCTGTATTTGTTGAATGGGTCGATAGTTCAACTGTCATGATCAATAGATTGATAAAACGGAATCAATTGTCTATACAGTTTTCGGGCCAAACAGTCCGATCATTCGGATCTGGTTTGAAAATATTAATTTTTAATTTAATTTATTTATGATATTCAACATCCAATTTCAATCTAAATTTAATTTGAATGCGATAATTAGATTCGATTCAAATTCGAATGCAAATAAATGAAATTAGGATTCGAGCCATTTGCAGTTCTATAAACTGTGATCCAATGCGATTTGATAGAGAAATGGAACTTTCTTTGGTCTGTCAAATCAAAGAAAGCCTAAGCCTTAGAAGAATTATTTGTTTTATACCCTTAAATAACTTCGATCCAAATCACCTTGGAAAGGGTTGGTTATAGACTGATTTCTACTGAGCAAGAAAATTTAGCAAAATATGATATGACAACCTTACACATTGTTGGCTAGAGTGATGAGCCCAGAGCCCATGGTTTAGAAATTTGATAGTGAGATAGCCCATGATTTGTGACTCTCAGGCCACAGCCAATGGCAAATGTAGTAAAAGGATGTTTAGGTAAGGTAGTATGGAGAAAGCCCATGGTTTTGGTATTGGGCCATCTGGACCTGGGTGAGCTTGTAATTTCATTTTTGTCCAAGGATGCCACGTGATAATACACTATTTAAGTGAAACAAAGCCGTGTTGTCATTAAAAGGCACTGAAGCAAATAACTATAATGAATATAGTCGTAATTAAACAAGCACAACAAGTATTGTGAAGCCAAAC